CTCTCTCTCTCTCTCTCTCTCTCTCTCTCTCTCTCTCTCTCTCTCTTTTCATACACATGCGTACACACACAGATGTTCAGTGAACACAACTGGCCTATACACACTCTCTCTCTTTTTCTTAATCTCTCCTGCCATACGTATACATACACACACAGATGTTTAGTATACACAACTCGCCTATACGCTCTCTCTCTCTTTCGTACTTTTGAGACACTGATACTGGGTTGAAAGAGGCAAGAACAACAATGACATCTCCTCTCCCCTCTCCCCACTCCTGATCTCTTCACTACATACTGCTGACAAACAAACTTGAACGAAAGATGGCTTGGCGCTGGCTAGTTCACGTGCCCGGCCGGATCTATCTCCAGGAAGTAGAAGTCTGGAAACTTTTGCAGTGTTTTTAACTGTTTTACCCTTTCGCGCTCTGCCCCTATTTTTGCTGCTAATATTGCATGGTCCATTCTTGTGGTCTCCCTGCTCGTAACGAAATGGGTCCGAGAGAGCTTAGGCGGGCAAGCTATAAATTATTAAATTGTAGTGCTAGTTTCCACTGGGTGATTTGACCAATTTGCCAGAACAGAGGAGTTGATGGTGTTTCAGCATCAGCCAGCTAAGAATACGAGTTCATCAATGATCTTCATGACTTGCTTCTGTGCGAACAAAATCCATTACATCTTGACGGCAGCAAAACTTCATCAGTTTCTTAAATGTGGTAATGGTAATGTTAGCGAATCCGAAGTGGCAGCTCTACTCAGTTAGGCATGTTGTGCCATAGGAAGGAAGGTAGGAGGAAGGTCGCAGGTAACAGGGTTCGAGTTCCCCATCGAAGAATGAAAGAAGGAACAGTTGGACACCTCTTCATACCCAGAAAGGTCAATCAGGCGTCACAGGTAAGTCGACAATCAGACACTGGGGGTGCATCGGTTACAAATCGGGCTGCGTGCGTTCAATTCAATCATTCGTCGCGCTAAAGGAGTGGTTGCAGCACACCCGTATTGGCACAGTGAAACCGTGTCCCAGATTCGTTTGCGCTGCGATCGGTGGCTCTCGTTCACGCCTTGTGAAAATTGTCCACCTGTGTGAGCCCAGCTTGTAATTGCTGACTAAATTTTGAGAACCGGTTGATTGCGAGCCCAGCCAGTGTCGCTCGGTCTAAGCCCGGAGTCATATTACCAGGACTATCACGGGGCCACGAGGGAGCAGAGAGGAGGAAGACCGTTGGTGTTCGGTTTATGCTCTGCTCACCATTCATTGCTTATTAAGTTATTAATAACTTTTTTTTTTTTTTTTTTTTTTAAGTTAGAAATAGCTGACTACAGGAGGCGTGGACAAACTTTATCGGCTCAAGGAAAGAGGTCATACTACTGTCATAGGCCCTTTTGAGTTATCATGATGATGCCAAGATTACCAAATTAAGGGGTCATAGATAGGCGTGAACAACTTAATCGCTTCCCCTCCAGGCGGCAAAGCAACAAAGACTGTTCGGACAGCGGCGCAACATCATTTGAAGATTTAAGCCACCTTTACCTGGCCCCAGCCAACTTGAGAACTAGGAATGAGTCACTCTGAAAAGTTGAGAGGGTCGTGGCAACCCGACCAAAAGGCTGGCAGTGCCAGGCGAAAAAACTAAAACTGAAACAGAAACGTTGTGCTGGCGTATCGGCAAAAATCTTGGCGCTCAGGGCGGTTCAAGGTTCGTGAGTTTTGACTCGGATGTACTCCGGTGGTTTTGACGTATAGTTGTTCCGAGACTGTGCGAAGATCGCGTGGAGGCTTGAAGGTTAGATTCTTAAAGAGCATCACAATGTATTCAGTAAGTTATAAGCATCTGGGATGAGTCGGGATGATAAATATGTTTAGAATAACTTCATAAGTTTATACCGATAGACGATACTTGCAGCGCACCTGCCCTGTGCACTGTGCGCGGACCGGAGACGGGCGTGTGCCGCCGCGCGGCGCGCACCTGGGTGCACGGTGCGCTGCGCACATATGCGCTGGGGGATGCGCACAGGCAGGCTGCACATGCGCCAGGTGCGCGCGTCCTTTTCGGGGGTCTGCGCGCGTCTTGGACTGTGCGTGGTGCAGTGCAAGTGGATGTGCCGCATGTATGCAATAGACATGTCTTTCTTTGTTTGCATGCAAAGTTTCGAGCAATCGGGGCAATTGCTTGCGAGCGGTATCTGGACTCCGTCATTTTTCTGCCAAGGTATGGTGGGCCCATAGCAATGTGAGTGTGTGCCAAACGCTCATGTTGACAGCGCCCGATGTGCGGACGCTGTGAGATGATGACCCATTTAAATACTCCTACCGTCTGTCTGTCTGCCTGCCTGTCTGTCTGCCTGTCTTTTCTATTTATGTCTGCGTATGTAATGTACATTGTACATGCCTTAAATAGTGCAGAGAATGCGTCGTGTTCAGAGACAGGAAAAGATTGATCGAGGACCAACTGCTGGCCTGGTGATCTATGATAGTGATGAGGACAAGTGCAGGAACCAAAGGAGTGGCATGGGACCAGGCAGGGCCACTACGGGACCCAGGAGGACTAGGGTAGAACCACGAGGGTAAGTGTGGAATCTGAGTGGTGTGGGAAAGGATGAGTTTGGAAACCAAAGGACCCGGAAAGATCAGTGCATGGAACCCAAAAGGACCAGGGAGACCTGAGAGGACTAGGGTGGTACCCAAGAGCGCGAGTGTGGAACCTATGAGGGCATTAGTAGACATCGAAGGACAAGTATGGGACCAGAAGACCCACCCCAAAGGACCAGTGTACGGAACCTGAACGGACCAGTGTACAGAACCTGAAAGGACCAGGGTGCACCTTTGGAGGACCAGGGTGGAACTCACGAGTACAAGCGTGGAGCCCAAGAAGACAGTATGGAACCTCAGAGGGTGGGTATGGAACCCAAGAGGACCAGTGTTGGACCAGAGACGAGTGATGTGGGACCGGAGACAATGTGTGGGATCAGACTGCTTTGCATTTTGTGTGATTCAGTTTGGTGCTGGAGAAGTGCTAAAGAAAGGGGTAAAATACTAAAATGTGAAGAGTGGTGCAGGTCCCTCCCTACATGCTCTGTAAAGAGATGCATGAATGTCTCCACCCGTTTATCCAGTTTCGATTTTCTATTCTCTTTCCAATCTGCGAACTACTTCCGAAATAGCCCTCTCTCTCTCTCTCTCTCTCTCTCTCTCTCTCTCTCTCTCTCTCTCTCTCTCTCTCTCTCTCTCTCTCTCTCTCTCTCTCTCTCCACACACACACACACAATTCGTGAGCTCAGCTCTCTGTTTGACCCTCTTTTTGACATTGACGTCGTTGCGGCCAAGTTGTGCGCTTCAGCCCACAGTGACTTGACCATCGATTTTGGATATTCCATTTTTTCTCCGATCTCGACAAACTCGGACAAAGTCCATTCTCTGCTTCCAATTCTGGACTTCCATCTCTTTTACCATTTCTTGACCATTTTGGATATTCCATTATTTCTCCGATCTAGACCAAGTCTTGTGCTTCATCCCGCAGCGAATGCCCTGGTGTCTCTCTCTCTCTCTCTTGGTTTGGATAAAGTCCGTACTACAGTAGTAACTGGACCAGTGGGCCGGGTGGGATCAAGTTGTACTTGTGTGGTCAAGTGCCTGACTGACCTCTTTGCGTTCGGACCAAGTCGTTCTGGCTCCCTGGTCCGTCCCAGACCCGAAAAGATCAGTGCATGGAACCCAAAAGGACCAGGGAGACCTGAGAGGACTAGGGTTTTCGGGCCCACTAACTGACTTGGTCCCAAATGAAATTCCCAATCACCGGCCATTGGAGCTCTAGGACTGATTGGTTGGGAGTCTTTGGACCAAGTGGTGGTTTTCTTCCCCGCTAATGACCTTCTCCCCTTTCGTTTGAACCCAGCCACGTGTAATTGGTCCAAACTGGCTTGCTCCGTCCCATCACGGGTCATAGGAGCGCTGACCTGGTTGTTGGCAATGTTTGGTACCAAATCTTGGTTTTCGTGCCCACTTGCTGAACCACGACCAAGTCCTGTTTTTTGGGCCCACTAACTGACTCGGTCCCAATCACCGGCCATTGGAGCTCTGGGACTGATTGGTTGGGACCAAGTGGTGGTTTTCTTCCGCGCTAACTGACGTTCTCCCCCTTGGTTTGAACTTGAACCCAGCCACTTGTTATTGGTCCAAACTGGCTTGCTCCGTCCCATCACGGGTCATAGGAGCTCTGACCTGGTTGTTTGCAATTTTTGGCACCGAATCTTGGTTTACTTGCTGAACCAAGCCCCTTTTGAGGCTTTTGTTATTGGTCTACTGGCCAGGTTTTCTGAGTTGTAGGGCAACTGAACTGACTGACCAACTGATTGTGGAATCAAGGGTGGTTTGTAACCGTTTGTTGTTTTGGAAACCAGAAGCTGGACTAGTAGGGGAGTTGGTGGTTTGTGAGGGGTATGGTTTGCCTTGGGAACATGGTTTTGCATTTATTTCTGAAGAGAGACGGCTGCCGTCTTGAATGTAGCGATTCTTTCTGAGACATTGCAGGAAGTGAGAGCGGAAGAGGGGGAGGGAGAGGGAGAAGGAGAAGGACACTGAACCACCTACCACTCCCAGCATCTTTTTTGACTTCCTCTGATATTTTTTTATATTTTAATATTTTAATGCCATTTATGAAGTAAGGCACCTTCAGGCTAACCTTGTGTGGGTGCTGTCCTGCTGCTTGTCATGTTCAGTGAACATTCAACATTCTCTTTTTGTTAAATAATTGAAATGGTTAGAACTTGGAAATGAGAATAGGAATTGACCACTGGTGGGTCTGTTTTCAAAAAAAAAAAAAAAAAAAAAAGAATAGGAATTGACGTTAGGGGGTAAATACTAAATATATGATGCAAGACGAGAGAAAAGAAAAGCATTTTGAAAATTACTAATTAGCGCTTAGAAATTACACAAGCTGTACTAGACCTATGCAACTGAATCTGGACTACGTGTAAGGTTACAGTCGTCCAACAAAAAAGTCCTACTGTGAGTTCGCATGTACTATTGGGTTTGATGATGCACGTCATCCTATCCAACAAGGTCACTAGATGTTGGAATCACTACTGTCTTTCCGCCGAAGAGAACGTATGGTCATTATAGCTGTATTTGGGGCAACATTCTGTCTAGATACAGTGATAATTACTGTGTGTTCTGTTCTTTTCGGGGGAGACGGTGACATTTGAAGGAATCTGAACAGCAGGGCTGAGCTTCCACTTGCACAGATTAAAGAAAATAACGTCTGGTCCCCGCAATCCGCGGTCGGTATCGCTTCGTCCGTGCTAGTCTTCCCACGGCTTGGTCCGTGCTACAGTCTTCCCACGAGCTCAATGCATCCTCATTTTCTGACTGTGTGGGAGCAGGAAGGTGACTTGTGTACAATCACAATCAGGGTGCACTGTGTTGGAGGGAAGACGTTAGTAGAATGTCAGCCTTGCGCATATAATTATAGTGTGTAGTGCTGTATACTATATATCGTCATAGTGCTTCACTAATTTGACTATATAGTTGCATGAGAATGTCGTAATATAAGTATTCTCTTGCTAAAATAGTGTATTGGTGAATAATTCTGAATTCCATTTTCCATCTCATAGTCATAGATTCACTGAATATAATAATTTTCCTAATGTGACTATATATAGTTGCATGGCAATCTTCTACTAATATAACTAAACCTCTTGCTAAAAATAGTATATTGGTGAAGAGTACTGAATACCCTTTTCCATCTCGCAGCCCATGTAATATTTCTTATGGTGTCTGTCATGCACTCTGCTTTGAGGTTGACACACTCACTTCTCTGAAAACTCCAGAAAGTCACTCTCTGACTCTCTCTGTCAGATGTCCTTTTTCACCTTTTGTGTTTTTTTGTTTTTTTTTTTTGTTCTCAACTGCAGTGTTGCAAGCATTTCACTGTTCTTTTTTTTTTTTTAATACAAAACCCCTGTCTATCGGGGGGAGTTGGGGGGGGCGCAGTCCACTGTTGCACACAGGGGGGTTGGTTTTGTTTTTATTTCCCTACACCCTCAAAAACTGGAGGGGGCCCCGCGTGACGCCCCCCTGCGGGCTCACGAAAAATCGCTGGCGGGCGAACGCAAGGCCCGTTCGGCAGTCCCGCCATGCGCCCGGTACCGGCGGGTGTTGGTCTGCTGTGGGAAGTGCCGGGCCATCAAAGCAGAGTTGTACACAGGGGGGTTTGTTTTGTTTTTATTTCCCGACACCCTCAAAAACTGGAGCGGGCCCCTTGTGACGCCCCCCTGCGGGCTCACGAAAAATTGCTGGCGGGCGAATGCATGTGTAATCCGAATACAAGACTCGAACACACAACCAACGGCTTGGTAGGTTAACACCTAACCATAAGGCTAAGTGGCCTGGGGTGAAAGTGAAGCCCCAAGATGAGCACTTCACCCCACCCCAGCACGAAGATCCCGCTACACGGTGTACCCAACCACACTCACCCCTACGCAGCCACACTGCCCGTAGTATAATCTCTACGGCGCCATGCGCCCGGTACCAGTGGGTGTCGGTCTGTTGTGGGAAGTTTCGGGCCATCGAAGCAGAGTGAGAGAAAAATCGGTGCCGGGTATTTTCACTGTTGGGCGGGCCTGAAACTGGAAACGTCACGGTGGAACGTCACAAGATGGGCGGGTGACTGACGGGGTGGTGTCGGGATCGGTCCCCAGGTCTCTCTCTCTCTCTCTCTCTCTCTCTCTCTCTCTCTCTCTCTCTCTCTCTCTCTCT